TGTGAGGGAAGAGGTCCAGCCTTCCCAAAGCAGGTAACAGCTGAGCTGGGAAGGTGATCCCGTGCCTGAGAGGTGAGCAGGGCCCAGGCTTTGTCCCACTGTTCCCAAGCTGCTGCCACCGTTTGTCTCCTCTCAAGCTGCTTCAGTCCTCATTGAAAAACTGAATCCTATTTAATGAACAAAAAGTAACTTGCTCTGGCTCAGGAGAAGGGATTTGAATTCAGGTGTTGTTCCTCCTCCCTGTCTGTGCCCCTGTGCCCGGGCTGGGCAGTGCTGGGGACAGTGATGGATGGTGCACACAGAGCTTGGTCTGCCTATTAATAAAGCACGATCCAGGCCATGGTTTTCCGAGTTCAGCACCTAAATCCATATCCTGGCTGACAGTGGAGCAGCCTTGTTTCCCGAGCAGCAGCTGGCAGTGCCAGTGCCCAGCACAGGCTGACCATCCCGGCCAGCAGCTCCAGCTTGGCCAGAGGCATTTGCTCCCTGTCCCCAGGCACAAGTGGCAGCAGGGCAGTGGGTGAGGGGCACAGGCTGAAGGGACCTGTGGTCCCTGGGAGGGAGTTCCTTTGTGTTTTGGGAGGATGGATGGGCACTGCAGCCCTGGATCGAGCCCAGGGCCATCCACAGCCATGTTCCCAGTGAAGTAGCAGCCCATGGGGACCCTTCCTTCCCAGCCTCCCAAAGGGATGTCTCTGCCAAGGGAGGGCTGCAGGGCAGGTGGCCCTGGGGTCCTGGGGGGCACTGGCTCTGCTGGAGCTGATCAGCTGCCTCCAATGCCAGTGTCTGCTCCTTGAGCCGTGCACAAGGGACAGGGGCATGGCTGCTGTGGGTGGCCCTGGGGTCCCTCCTGCTCCCCATGTGTCTTTTCTCCCAGCTGTGGGCTGGCAGCTCGTTCCTCTGTGGGGTGGTCTCTGCTGGCCCCCGGCTGAGGATGCTGCAGCACCAGGAATGCACAGCTGGGGATGTCACCCAGCACCCTCATCCCAGCCCGGCCAGGGGCTGCACCTGAGGCAGCTGAAATACGGGTTTCCTGCGTATGGAAATGGGAATCTTTCATTTTTTCCAAAGCCACGGTGCACGTGGACATCCCAGCAGGGGTAAGTGGTGGGCCCTGCTGCCTGCCCGGGAGGGAGGGGGATGCAGGGGGGCAGAGCTGGCAGAGGCGATGCCCGAGGTGAGCTCTGCGCTGCCGGAGCGCTGTTCCCGGCTGGCAGGACCCGCTGCCTGCGGGGAGCTCTGTTTGTTGACGGTCCCGGCTCTCCCAAGGCTTGGCAGGAATGCTGCCTGCACAGCTCCTGCCCGTCTGCCAGCCGTGCTGCGGCTGCAGAGCGCCTCAGCTGCCAGCGCTCCCGGCAGCGCTCCCGACGCCCTCCCCTCTGCCCGAACAGCTGCAGCCAGTCTGCGAGAGTGGATAAAAACTCGCTAATAGGTGGGGAAAGAGCGCGCTCAGCCGAGCTCGGTGCGTGCACTGCAGAGCCCGGCCGGCCCTGCCGCAGGCTCTGCGGGGCTGCTCCGCTGGGCTTTAGCAGCGGCTCCAAAATCCCAGTGCTCACTCCAATAAAGTCATGGAGGGGCTGGAGTGTGTCCAGAGAAA